GCGATCCCCTTCATCCAGGAGTGCGGAGAGTAGCGGAGCATAGGGATAGCATAGGGATCTTACAGAATGGAATCGGAGACACTAGCTTTCCAAATATAGCGAGAACTTCTTCCACTCTTCCTGGCACATCGCTGTGACCCCCCTGTCCCAGTGAGCCAGAAACAGCTCCCAGGTTGTGTGAAGATGTTTGCATTTAACTCCCTTAATTACTGATGGACTTCATCTGACAGAGCCGAAGGATAATGAGGCTCAGCATGGTCGGAAGGCAAGTGTCTGGTCACTCACTGACACTACTGTACCTCCCACCCCCCAGACAGATAACTCCAGTACCTGGAACCCTGCATGCGCTACCGGTGTGATGACAAACAAGACCAGGGCCTTCAATCCCCAGCCTCCTCCAAAGCTCGAAGTTAACAATGGCAGACGTGGATAAGAAAAGCACTGGGCCCTGCCTAATTAAAATGAGCAGCCCCACTCCCCCTGACAGTGTTCCCACAGCTCTCCTGGGCCCGTGGTTGAGACGCCAGCCTTCCGCAGGGCTGCCACTCGTCGCTGTGTCTCTGCTATCAGCTACACTCCCGCCTAGAGGTGCTGGATCAAGACCGCTCGTTTTAAAATGGCAGGTCTGGAGCCAAGTCTGCAGCAGCGGTGGGCCAGGGGACACAGGAGCTGGCACTCCTGCGGTTCCCTCCTGCCCCTCTCCTGCCCCTCTCCTGCCCCTTCAGTTCTATTTCCACACTTCCTGGGAATTTCCACCTCCGTCAGCGGCATCCGCACGATCTGGGCGGCTCCGGAGGAACATGACCGTCCGGTTTTGTTCTCTTGGCGAGAGTCAGTGTGAATTACCGTGTCACTGCCACGCTTTTGGCTTCACTTCAAAGGCTTGGAAGATGAGCCCTGAGACGATATTCTCCCCTGGGTCCGGCCCTGCTGTCCGTTGCCGGGTGCTGTTGGTGCTCCAGGGCGGAATCCTTACAGCGTGGCAGTCCGCAGGAGGTGATGTCACGCCAGCTGTCTCAGGTCGGGGGGGACTCCGAACACACGTCCACATCATTAAAAACTGAGCTCTGAAAGGTCTGAGAACAAACAGCCCCTGCAAAAATAAATCGAAGGCAACACAGATGAGTCCTGACCACGCCAAGGAACGCCTCCATCCACCAACTCATCAAGGACCAGGACGAAACAGACGTATATTAGCATACACACCGGTGAGTTGTGCATGTGTATCACCTTCATGGTGCCTGTACTTTCGAGTTTTCACTTTACGGTGCTGTAGGGGAGTGGGACTGTGTGTGGGGTTGTGAGGATGTAGAGGCAAAATGGCTGTCAGGCTGTCTCTATAGGAAAAGGTGGAAGGAGTGCAGAGAGTGGAAAACCCTGTAGCTTTCAGGGGGGCAGGACAGGGGTATATGAAGAGAACCTGGGGCAGTTCTCTCCTGGTGGTGAAACTGCTGACCTGAGTGGAACCTGGGCTGGGGCCTCAGTCATTGCCCCTCCTGAAGGGCCAGGGCTCCCACACGGTGTCAGGGTGAACCACTCCCACAGCCTCCTGATCTGTGACCACAGCAATATCCCGTCAGCAGAGGCTCCAGCTCAGAGACTCCGGGAAGAAACAACCAGGGCAGCAGCAGCAGACTGCAGCTTGCTGGGCTCATG